ACGACCGACGGACGTTGAACGTATGGTTTCTTCAAGTTACGGTGGTAAATCGACGTTCGGCTGCCTTCCTGGTATTCGGTTGCCTTCCTAATGGTGTTCGGCCGCCTTCCTAATTTCACTCATAATTGGTATCAGAAAGCTTCAATAATACTTTGGCGGGCCCTTACAAATGAAACTCAAGCTTGTTCTTTTTGGACAGCAGCAGCAGCATTACCTGACTACCTATTTCAAAGCTGCGTTTCTTCGCCGATTTGTCATAGTACTCCTTGGACATCACTTGTACAGCCTTCATGTGGATTTCCACAAGATCTTTCGTTTTTCCAAGCCTCTCAAGGGGGTTTAAAATATGCGCAACTACAATAGGTCCTAATCGCATCCCTCCCAGGACTCGCGAACCATTCGCAATAGTGTTCTCGAAATTTTGCCATACTCAAGCTCTGAAGGGGAGAAACTAGTGTTATCAGGAGAAGCCGATCTCAAAGCTATCATAGCCGGAGGAATACACGCTTCCCAGTCGCGTTTGTGCTCGTAGAAAAGAGCTCTCAGTATCCGTTTCGATTTGTGCACTACTTTTATTCCACACTTATTCGAAAAAGTAGAGGCAAGGCAGCTGCTGAAGACAATACTGTTGTCACAATGGATTTCAGAAGGAAATTCGACGCGTGCAAATATAGATAGCAGTGCCTCCACGACATCAGGGGAATTTAGCTCATTAAGTTGTATTGCTTCTGCAAATTTCGTGGCTACACAGAGGGCCGTCAGGATGTACCGACAACCTTGCCTGGACTCTAAAAATGGCCCTATGATAAGAATTACTAGGCACCAAATAGGTTCTTTGCTAATTGGCACAAGCTTCATGGGTGCCTTCCACTTGTCCGTGGATTTCCTGACTCTCTGACAAGTGTCGCATGAGCGTACAAAGTCTTCGATATCCTTCCAGCATTTCGGCGAATAAAACTGTAGAGAAACTCTAGCCTTGGTCTTCTTTATACCGAGATGCCTGCCCACGCATTTTCATGTGCGAGTTCCAATAGTAGGCGACGATACTTTTGTGGCACGAAGAGCAGCTCATACTTGCAACCTTGCACATTTGTGTAGCTCCGATACAAGAGCCCTACCTTCTAAAGAAAGAAACATTCTTTTTCTTTTTTCCCGAGTTTACAGTTTCCATTGGCGCTTTAGTCAAGAGGTCCTCACGCTGCTCTCGAATGAGCGTTTCTCACTCATCCTTCGACAGCTCACTCCCACTTTCCACTACATGAAAGTGGGAGTGAGTTGCACCCCTCTCTCTCTCATCCAATGGGGCCATGTCGTCTCCTCCGCCGACAGAGACGGCGACGGGTAGCTCGAGTAACTCATCCGGAGAATTACCTGTCTGAGGCATCATCGCCTCGCCACCAAGGTCACACAGTTCAGCCCCTCTAGCAGGTGGTGTTTCACTACACTGAACGAGATCGAGTTCCTGCGAAAGCTTCCGCGCTTGCGATCGCGTGAGGGCCATCTACGCTAAGTTGAAGAAGAACAATTTACCCTGCTCTTTGAGGAGCTACTCGGAGTTATTGGAAAAAGAAAGGTAACGAGAACGATCAGAAAGCGCTGCAGACACAGCCGGTTCGGTGCAAAGCTTACCGAACGGGCCTTTATGACAACCGTAGCGATTGGTAAGCAAGAACTCTGCTCCTCGGCGACTTGCCTGCTCCCCGTTCATTATCCTGTAAAGTCTTCTGGAGACACCAACGAAGGATAGACAACGTACAAGGTTGCCGCATAGTCTCTAAGTGCTCGACACGCTTACCCATTCACACTAATTTCTTGGAGATACGGATCTAACAACCGCATGCTTTTTCCGATTCTCGGATTGTTGCGAAAGCAAACTTTTGCTTACAGTTCAGCGCGATGTGCCCCTTATTTTTACAGTTGTAGCAGATTAGCGACTTCCGTGATTTAAACGCCCGTGTGGTATCAGCGCGTTGTTTAGGAACCTCACTCTATTTCTCCGCTTCCGTTTGCCCTTCCCCTACATTGTCTTTCGCAAGAGACGGGTCCTTCCTGAAATTACGGTGCGAAGTGGGTTGCCGGTGATCAGGCTTCTTCAAAAAGCCCTCTTTCCTTTCATCATTTTCAACTCGTACTGTCCTGCTATGCAACCTTTGGCGAGTATAATACTCCTCAGCTAACTCTGCTGCCTTGTTTAGCTGTACTTCACGAAGTTTGTCCTGCAGCCAAAGCTTTACATCCTCCTCGATGCAGCGGTAGAACTGCTTTCCGGCGTCACCATCGCGCAGGGCGGTGTGTTGCCCAACATTCAAGCCGTGATTTATACTTGAGAGATGAACCATTACGAATCGGGAAGTTCGCAGGTAGATATATTCTGCTATACGAATGTGTCTTTTGTGAAATATGAATGATAGGCAGTATTTGCTAAATTATGTTAATCCCATTGTTAATAAAGTGGTAATGATATTAGTACTGCCGCGACTGCTCATACAGTAAAAGCAGACGTTATGCGTGTATGTGAATTTGAGTGTAGATTGTATTGCTACACTTTCTTTTTCAGTCTCCGCCTCCATTAACCCACCCTACTTTCCCTGCAAGTCCAAGTGGGGTAAGTGCTTTACTCATTAAGCCGAGCGAATACAAACAAAATGTCAGTCAAGAAAGATCGAAAAAGGCACGCTGTACAGTCTTTGGCTGGTACCGCGTTCCGTTAGTGCTTGCTTAGAGAGAGAGAGAGCTCTTTATTAAAAAGCAGAGAATTTAGCCAGCTTGTATTTGTCGCTGACTTGCTACTCTGCATGGGGAAGGAAATTGGGGACAGAAAGAAAAGAAGGGAGAGAGAAAAAATAACAAAAAATGAAATGGAAAAAAATAAATATGCAGATTTTTTCTGTCTCTTGGGCGGGGACGTGTGCTGACGGGATGACTTGAATTGAGAGCTATTTAAAATAACAGGAGATATATATGTGCACTCCAAACGGTCCTACGCAGTTCTACGCAGAAGAAAAGGGCGTACCCCAGGGCGCAGTACTCAGTCCACTTCTTTTCAGCACCACCCTGATACATATCGCAAGGATATTGCCGTGAGGAGAGAACATGACAATTGACGTCGACGGTATATGTATCTGGAGTGCCTCAGGTTCGTATTTTCTTACGAAACAGCGCCTTCAAAAAGCTTTACAGAACCTCTGCGTGGATTTGGTTCCCCGGGGTAGGCACGTTTTCCCAGAAAAGCACACAGCCATCACATTCACAAGAAAGAAAATTATTAAGTATCCGCTCCTTCTCGGTGGTGGCCCACTTACCTATGTATGGTCTGAGCAATTTCTTGGAATAGTCATCTACAGAAGTCCTTCCTGGTCTTCTAAGGTGAAGAAACTTCAAGCGAGAATGGCTGCAGCATCACAACTCTTCAAATTCATGGCGGGAACACAATGGGAATGCAAGTGCCGATCAATGGTCCTTTATGAGGAAGCGTTTCTTTAAAGAAACTTTGTGTTATTCCCTAACGGTGCTTCACCAATCATCACCAACAAACAAAAGAACTTTAGAGGCCGCACGAAAGAATTGTCTATGAATCTGTCTAGGCCTTCCGAAGAGCTCATGAGGCTCGGGAACTCCAGCAGAAGCAGGATGTCTTACGCTAGCTGTCATCTGCCCTCAAGAAATATTGCTCACTCATTTCCTCCATGTCATACATAGAAAGAAGCATTTTCTGTACCACGTACATCTCACCCACAGCAATTCAGCATTCGGCCAAGCTGTGCAAATGCAGCAACTTACTGCTATCAGACAGCCGAAGAAGTTGATGCCTCCAAGATATTTTCCGTGGATGGTTTACCTCTTGATATTAAACAGTGTGCCCCAGAAATTAATGAAGCGATAAGATGTCTTGCATAGACCAAACTGCTGCAGACTACTCTCTTGTACTTAGCCCAGCATTACACTCAGCATTCTCACATTTATACTGACGCCTCATCTACTCAGGAGTTCTCATCATAATGCCTTTAGCTTCTCCCTACAGGACAAAGTCTCTCCTATCGGCTACGATGCAGGACATCATCAACAATAGCACAACTTCATGGAATTGAAGAAGCAGTCCTCTACATACTGCGTCAAACGCCCAACCGATGGGTAATCTTCACCAACGCTAAGGGAGCTCTACAAATACTATTTAGCTTCCTAAAGAAAACAAATTATCGCAAGATTTTTTTTGATATAGCATACTTACCCCATTTGGCTATTATCGCTGGTCACGCTATCACATTTCAATGAATACCGGCTCGTTGCGGTATACTGGTCTAGGAAAAAGCATATGAAGTGGCCCGCCAAAGGCTTCAAAGGCAAAATTACAGGCGAACCTGTTTCACTAAATCAGGTGCTTGCCAGCTGGCTAAAAGGCTTGCTTCCGAAAAAAAGAAGAGGTAATGGAACCTCCCGACACATCATTATGCTTTCCTTCACTCTATCGACCCACATCTAAGGGCTAGACTCCCATCAAAAATTCATCGACACCTGGAAACTCTCTACCACGTCTCCGGCTGAACAGTGCTTATGGAAACAATTTATGGTATCGCTTCGGTCATGTAGGCAGTCCATACTGCGATAACTTTGGCTCTATAGAAACTGTAAAACATACCTTGTTTGAGTGCCGAGCATATGTCGATGAGCGTGCGTTCTATGAACACTGCATGCATCTGTTAACCCAAAAACTTTATTTGTTCACTGTGCCCTGGGCCCTTTTCTTAGCTGCAAGCAACAGAGGCAAGCGATGAAACTTTTTATTTGCGTTTTTTATAGCTATACGCGTTTTTTCGTAGCTAGTTTTTTATAGCTAGTCAAACTGTACGGGTGCCTTGGTGCTTCCTTATATGACTATTTTCTAGCTTGACTGATTCTATACCTAATTCAGTCGTTTATTCTCAGGCAACGAATATTAGTTTTGATGTTTCTATAGCTTACCAGATGAGGTCCTCCAGACTCAAATAGAAGAATGTACTCACAAGGCAATGGTGGACAATCGCACCGGTAATAAGAAGTACAACGACTTCCACTTGGAGAATTACGTATGTCTACCACAATACCGAACTTCTGAACTTGCGAGCTTAGGCAGCTTAGTGCTCTTGATGACCGTTTTTCTCAGGCGTCTACTCTCTCCTACCTTCTTCCTGTCTCACTCAAAGTTGTCATTTTCAGTTTGAAAGGGTCCCCATTGTCAGAGGGGTCATGCTCCCACTTTGACGTTTCCTGTCAACTGAGGAGTTGTGCGCACCTGTCTTGCGAATTCTTCGGCTACATCTACGTGATTGTTATTTTGAGCGTATACGTCGCGGGTAGTTAGAGTGCATGAAAACTAAACGCAGAAAGATTGAACAGGCCTCAATAAGTAAATCAGGTGACGAATTTCAGCTTGGGATTGCAGAACTGGGCGTGCAAAAGAGAAAAGTAGGTCTGAAAATAAATATGCCTAAAACTAAAGTAATGTGGAACAGTTTTCCCAGAAAAAGGTCTTTGCGATGGGTTAGGGGCGAAGAAAGTTGTAAAGGAATATGTTTTCTTCGTTCAGCGAACTGGGAGCGCAGAGAAAACACAAAGGACGAAGCGAGGAACCACACAACACGAGCACTCAACTATCAACTGATTTATTTTCCACATCGGAAGGACATATATAAACACAAAATGCGCATGTCAGAAAAGATTATGACGAAATCAAGGGCAGCATGCGAAGCGTGTAATCAAGGCACATGTCTAAGGGTTATCTAGGTAGCTGAATTCACAGTCAAGTAGTGAGACGGAAGGATGACTTATACATTGGTCCGTATTCCTGGAAATGTGATAGGCTTCAGAAATTTCGCGCGTAGTTTGATGAGGATGCCGGAACAGAACAATTGTATTCTCAAACAGAGGTTGGCACTTGCACGAAACGCAATGTGACGCTAAATGGGAGTAAGGTGTATTTTTCAACGAGCTTCTGTGTTCCCTGAGACGCACGTTCACACATCGGCCGGTCTGGCCAATGTACATACGTCCACAAGAAAGGGGTATCTTATATACTACTCCGGTGATGCACTTAACGAACTTAGTTACGTGCTTCTGGAGGCATCCTCTACCTTTAGATGCATTATGTGTCCTCCTGTGCACCATTGAACATATACTGGCCAATTTATTGGGTGCCGAGAAAAAACGTGGGAAACCGGTTCGGTGTGCGCGTGGTTTTCTCGGCACCCAATAAATTGGCCAGTATATGTTCAATGGTGCACAGGAGGGCACATAATGCATCTAAAGGTAGAGGATGCCTCCAGAAGCACGTAACTAAGTTCGTTAAGTGCATCACCGGAGTAGTATATAAGATACCCCTTTCTTGTGGACGTATGTACATTGGCCAGACCGGCCGATGTGTGAACGTGCGTCTCAGGGAACACAGAAGCTCGTTGAAAAATACACCTTACTCCCATTTAGCGTCACATTGCGTTTCGTGCAAGTGCCAACCTCTGTTTGAGAATACAATTGTTCTGTTCCGGCATCCTCATCAAACTACGCGCGAAATTTCTGAAGCCTATCACATTTCCAGGAATACGGACCAATGTATAAGTCATCCTTCCGTCTCACTACTTGACTGTGAATTCAGCTACCTAGATAACCCTTAGACATGTGCCTTGATTACACGCTTCGCATGCTGCCCTTGATTTCGTCATAATCTTTTCTGACATGCGCATTTTGTGTTTATATATGTCCTTCCGATGTGGAAAATAAATCAGTTGATAGTTGAGCGCTCGTGTTGTGTGGTTCCTCGCTTCGTCCTTTGTGTTTTCTCTGCGCTCCCAGTTCGCTGAACGAAGAAAATGAATTACCAACTGGCCCACATTTTGATCCTTTTGAAAGGAATATGTGTATTAGGACAAGTATCAAAATTGTTATGCTGTACTCTTTTCAGTCTCCGCGGCCATCAAGCCCCACAAGTCCCATTGCTGGTCCAAGTGGGGTAAGTGTTTCTTGATGCCCAGCGAAAGGAACTGGATTCTAGCCGCGGAAGACCAGTGAGGCGCATTGAACATTCACTCGTTCCTACCATGTTCTTCTTGTGCTGCCATTTATGCGTATTTCTTGCTGTTGTCGTTTATCTACTACGATTACTACTACTACAACTACAACCAGCACTACTGCCAGTACTTGTACTGCTAGTACCAGTACAGAGAGCCTCAACGCATATGCTCTAAATACAACGGCCTAACTGATCTACAGAATTTAATGTGGCCTGCCCTCGATTACTTCGACCTGCCATAGAGGTGCGATTCTTAAAAAAGCTATGCAGCTGATAGGCGTGCACCTAATCAGGCCTTCTTGCAGCTGTGTTGTAAACCTTTGAACATGGCTGGATGGCCAGATATATAGAGAGATAGGTAGATTGATATATAAACATATAGACAGATTGATATATGTATAAATAGACTTGATTGATTGATTGATTGAATAATGGTTAAAACATTGTTGCATTTAGATTTTCTTTGTAAGCCTAGGCGATGCGCCTTGTGACTACGCACACTGCTCAACGTAAATTTGCTACGTCTGTTTGAAAATTTGGGTTACGCGCCTTCCTGTCTACACATCCTTGTCCATGTTTTTCACTGTGCTTAACTGAAATTATACATGATCGTAGAAAGACTGGCTCAGCTTGCTATCTTGCCATTTAAAAACGTTCGGTTGGAAGTAAGTGCATTGTCCTGTCGCCAACTTCACAATGCCACAGAAGCGTTTGTAGAGGCTCAACAGATCAATCGATCGAGGCGAATTTGATCACAATAACTATGCGAAGCATTCCAGATAAGCTGGAAATTAACGCACCACTGTAGCACACACAAAAGGCGGTCTTCTTACACAAAGGCGTAGTGAGCGAGGTTCAGCCACTACCAAGCACCTCATCCGCAATGCCAATGGACCCCTTTGTGAAACTATGGAGGCGTCCAGATTACGGAAACTGTGCGTATAACCGTGACAATCAGCCTTCAATAATTCGCCTGGATAAGTGAAGTTTCTTGACGTCATGGTGACATCAAAACAGCATCACCATTTTTATTTTATTTTCATAAGCCTCAGCTTACTCAACTTATCTGGAAGTTTACCTCACTTTATATCACATAAGTTTGTATAGTTGTCTTGAAATTCAGCCTGACCCACTTCACATCAGTCACAGTGTAAAATTATGGCGACACAATTTATAACACCACTACCTGTAAGCAGTGGTCTTAGCAACGGAGTGGGCGTTTTATAATAGCAGCCTCCATGCTTGGCTTCCAAAGATGACTCGTGCCACTGACACATTGCGGCATTTTTGTCCGAGTACTTCCTCGCGTGAATCCAATAGGGTGGCATCTAAAAGAGTAACTTTTATAACAAGTGGCCCTTACTAAAATGGCAGCTTAATAAATAATTTTACAGTAGATTAGCTGGCAATTTTTTTTCACTCTAAGCGAAGAATTTGCGGTCGAGTAGGGACCCCGTACTGAAGAGCTTATGTGCAATTTAACTCTTGCGAATTTCGACAGCTGGTCAATTGCTTGTGTTAACATTAAGCAATACAGAAAAAAAACGCCAGGCCTGCGCGGAAAGCGCAGCACAGTCACAGCGAAAGCTGAAAGAGCGCCATTTTATAGCTTTTTCAGAACACCTATTGGGTAACTACTGCAATCACACTAGCTTGATGTTTACTAGGGCATTAATATAAACTTTGGGGTTGTAGGATGGCGTTCGCTGTGCTATTTTTCATTGTTATTCTTAGAAACGTTGTATCTGCTAAGCACATGCAAAGAATTTTGTGCCAATTGTTCTTGCAGTGGCTGATGACGATGATAAATTATGGCTGAAGTCAGTATGTGCCAGTTGATAGGTAAATAAGAACTAATTTTTTCAAATGTTTGGAGCATTAGATTGCCCCCTCGATGCGTTTTTCGCATCGTGCGACGACTGGTTGTTCTTTCGATGTTTTAAAACGCAATATAAGTCGCATTAACGCGATTGCAGTTCCGACGTCATGCCTGCCTAAGATAATTTAGCCAACAAGTAACATGTACCAGTTCAGCTCAGTGGCAGAATACTGGGCTGGCTGCGAGCAGACCAAGGCTCGAGCCCCATTGTGACCTTGGTGAGATGTTTTCCAACAAGTCACAAGCACCAGCGCTGCTCAGTGGTAGAATACTAGGCTGGAACCTAGCAGACCCATTCTTCGAGCCCCACTATGTCTTGGACGGTAGGTCTTTCTTTTAATTTCGCACGATGTTGTTACGAATACCGGCGGCTGCGGTGGATTGATTGATATGTGGTGCTTAACGTCCCAAAACCACTGTTGGAGCGAACACAAGAAAGATTTAGCCCTGACTGCATTTGGTGGATCTTTCTTGTGACTGCTCTGGCTCTACAGGCGTCCCCCCCCCCCGTAGAGCCAGAGCCGTAGGAGTCACCAGAGGAGTCACCCAGTGGACATGCTTGGATGTGGGCATGCAGAGTGAAGATTTAAACGCCGCGGCCGTGAGAGCGGCGATATACGCAGGTTTCCGTCGATCATCAGCCACGATGCCTTGACGGTCTTCGATGTCCAGCGTGAACGGCTTGGTGTACGATGGAGTACGCGGAATGGACCATTATAGGCTGGTGTGAGTGGTGGCCGTATTTGGTCACGCCGAACGAAGACGTGACAGCAGTCATGCAGATCCTGGCTGACGAAGACAGAGTGGGGGTGTCGGTCGGCAGGAATAACAGGAGCAAGGTCCCAAAACGTGGTGCGCAGCTCTCTAATGTACGTGGAGGCATCGTGAGTGGAAGGTGGCGATGATGGCTCGAAGAATTCTTCTCGAAGACGTAGGGAAACGCCATAGACATATTTGGCTGATCAGCAGCCGAGATCCACTTTCAATTCTGATCAGATGCCCAAAAGTACGAAGAGGGGTGGTCGAGCCAACGTTCCCTTGGCTGGTGAGCAGTGAGGGCAGCTTTCAGTTGTAGATGAAGCCGTTCCACCATGCCATGGGCGGAAGGATGGTAGGCAGTTGTGTGGGTGTGTCGAATGCCCAGGATATTAGCAAGTGCGGTCAAAAGGGCCGATTGAAATTGACGACCGCGATCAGTGGTG